AATCAGCCAGCTCGGTGAATCCCAACAATGTGGCGAGGATCTGTCCCGGCTGCGGCGCGGCTCTGAGCTATCGGCATACAGCCCGGTTCTCCTCTTTCCAGCACTTCCTGTTGGCCCATTTATTACAATGAACGGGTTTCACTTGCTTCAAAGTTCTGCCGCGAGCAAAGCAGAGGGCCCGTACGCAGAGTGCAGCACAGCGCTTTATTAACCCCTTGCTGACCAGGTGTTTACAACCCCTTTCTGTGGCAGCCATTTTTCAGTATTCAGCGCTGCGGTACTTTGACTGACGTTTATTCCGCCACGCAACGCTGTACTGACATGAATTTTATACCATTTTTTGGGGACAGATAGAGCTTTCTTTTGGGGGTGTTTAATCACCACTGGGGGGGAAGACACCAGTCATGTCCAGCTTAAAAATTGCGCGCACCCGCGAAATCGCAAAAAAACTACCATACCCAAAATTGGCCATAGGCGACGCTTTGAAAGCTTTTACAGCTCATCAGTTTGGCATTATCGGTGATTGATGACCCGGGAATCATTGCTCGCACTGCGACCTTCGCGGCGATATGTAACATGTGAGGCGTAATGTGCGCAATCGTCGTTTTCGCAGGCATGCGCCCCTGACGCATGTTTGTATGTATGGGACATTCCCTCCGGGCGCTTAAATGTCAACGTCTCCGATGACTTCTTAGACTTCTTCTGCGAATACCAAACAGGAGAACCAGAGAGACGGGTCACTGTACAGCGCCGCGGTATATGTCAGAGCTATACACATGCATAATAATACTGTGTGACTGTGGGGGGACGGGACACATTAGAGTGTAAGCTCCTCTGTACAGAGACTGATGTGACTGTGGGGGGAGGGGACATAGAGATCACTCACCCCCATATAAATAAATACACACAGACAGCAGTCCTTTGACCCCGGAAATAACCCTCCCTAAGGGACCCGGTGCCCCCAATAAACACCACCTAAAGACCCCCCCTCACCTCTCCAGAACACCGGCGGAGCCTCCGGAGGGACGCGCGATGATGACGTCACGCAGCGACGGGACTCGTTGAGTGAAAGGGACACCTAGCGTCCGGAGACAAGAATGACAGGAGGACTGGAGAAGGGGCGGGGCCAGCGTGGCACAAGGGGGGGAAAAACTGACACATTCATGACAGAGCTGAGGAGGGGCGGGAACAGCACGTTCGAGATCTAGGAAAGGGGCGGGGCCCAACTATGCACAGAACTGAGGAGGGGCAGGGTCAGAGCAGTAGAAAACTGAGGAGGGGCGGAACAGAGCCGACAAGGGGCGTGGCCATCAGAGCACAGCGCAGACACTCCAGGATCGCACCGCACTCATATGGAGCGCCGACGGTCGGTGTGTGGGCGGGTTATATCACCTCGATTTCTGATTTATTTATAAATGTCACTGTTTTATGTTGTCACCTTCCTTGTCCAGCTCTGTGCTGCTTCCTGCGAAGATTTCCTTTAATTTTTCCTGATGAATCCGCGTTCACACCTTCGCCAAAGCCGACGGAACGCGGCACAATGTGCTCGTGTTGACATTCATTTCTAATGTCACCTCAGAGCTTGTTCACACCAAATCCGGACCAGATCTGCACGAGTTTCTGCGTATGCAGTGCGTTTTAATGCGTTTCCGTCCGTTGTTTTTGTGTGTGCTGCAAATGGGCTTTCAGGTGTAGTCCAGTGCATTCCAGGGTGTGTGCATGCGTTTTGGTGCATTCCAAAGCAGAAAAAATAGGGCATGCTGCAGTTTTTCCACATGCACTGGAACTGAACTCTCCGGTGTGAACTAGAGCCCAAAATACCACTGGAATACATTGGATGCATATTTGATGCGTTCTGTAACTGCTCTGCACTTGGTGTAAACAAGCCCTCAATGTGGTCAGGGAGACGCGTTTTTCTGCTCTGCGTTTGCACGCACTGGAACACAAACGTAGAAGCCAAAAACCAAGAACGCATGTTGTAGGGGTAGCTGTAGGGGGGACTACAAATCCCGAGCAGCTGCATCCAAGCCGCACATCACCAAGTGCAATGCAAAGCGTGGGATGCCGCGGTGTAACGCACGCCGCCACTGGACTCTAGAGAAGAGGAGGCGTGTTCTCTGGAGGGACCAATCACGCTTCTCTGTCTGGCAATTCGATGGGCGTGTCTGGGTTTGGCGGTTGCCAGGGGAACGGTACTTGCCTGACTGCATTGTGCCGAGTGTAAAGTTTGGTGGAGGGGGGATTATGGTGTGGGGTTGTTTTTCAGGGGTTGGGCTTGGCCCCTTAGTTCCAGTGAAGGGAACTCTTAAGGCATCAGCACACCAAGACATTTTGGACAATTTCATGCTCCCAACTTTGTGGGAGGAGTTTGGGGACGTCCCCTTCCTGTTCCAACATGACCGCGCACCAGTGCACAAAGCAAGGTCCATAAAGACATGGGAGGTGGGGGGGAGGAACGTGACTGGCCGCACAGAGTCCTGACCTCAACCCCATAGAACACCTTTGGGATGAATTAGAGGCGGAGACTGCGAGCCCCTCCCCCAAGATCAGTACCTGACCTCACAAATGGTCCAACATTCCCATAGACACACTCCTAAACCTTGTCTACGCCTTCCCAGAAGAGGCGGAGCTGTTATAGCGGCAAAGGACGGAGCCAACCCAACGCTGAACCCTACGGACTAAGACTGGGATGTCATTAGGGGGCGGAGCCAACCCAATACTGAACCCTACGGACTAAGACTGGGGGGCCAATCGAGGGCGGAGCCAACCCAATACTGAACCCTACGGACTAAGACTGGGGGGCCATTAGAGGGCGGAGCCAACCCAATACTGAACCCTACGGACTAAGACTGGGACGCCATTAAAGTTCATGTGTGTGTAAAGGCCAATACTTATAGCTATATAGTGTATATATCTCCTGACACCTTGTGGGCGTTTGACAACAATAGAGACTGCAGAAAACCTGTTATTCCTTCCTATGCACAGTGAGTGGTGTTTGGTGTTCGTCCTCTAGGGGGCGGCGTTGCCCTTCCTATGCACAGTGATTGGTGTTTGGTGTTCGTCCTCTAGGGGGCGGCGTTGCATTTCCTATGCCCAGTGAGTGGTGTTTGGTGTTCCTCCAGTAGGGGGCGGCGTTGCCCTTCCTATGCCCAGTGAGTGGTGTTTGGTGTTCCTCCAGTAAGGGGCGGCGTTGCATTTCCTATGCCCAGTGAGTGGTGTTTGGTGTTCCTCCAGTAGGGGGCGGCGTTGCCCTTCCTATGCCCAGTGAGTGGTGTTTGGTGTTCGTCCACTAGGGGCGGCGTTGCCCTTCCTATGCCCAGTGAGTGCTGTTTGGTGTTCCTCCAGTAAGGGGCGGCGTTGCATTTCCTATGCCCAGTGAGTGGTGTTTGGTGTTCCTCCAGTAGGGGGCGGCGTTGCCCTTCCTATGCCCAGTGAGTGCTGTTTGGTGTTCCTCCAGTAAGGGGCGGCGTTGCCCTTCCTATGCTCAGTAAGTGGTGTTCGTCCACTAGGGGGCGGCGTTGCCCTTCCTATGCCCAGTGAGTGGTGTTTGGTGTTCCTCCCACTAGGGGGCGGCGTTGCATTTCCTATGCCCAGTGAGTGGTGTTTGGTGTTCCTCCCAGTAGGGGGCGGTGTTGCCCTTCCTATGCCCAGTGAGCGGGGTATGGGCGTCTCTCGCACACGCTGCGCTGTAATTAGCGGGATGACAATGTGAGGAAGCTGCACTCCAAACACTGGAGACCCGATAACGGCGGACAATGGCGGTCTGTGCTGAGCGCTCGCCCTGCGCCGGCCGATCTGTGTAAATATAGAAAGTGTGTCATCGTTATATTGTCTCTGCTCACTCCCCCCCCCCCCCCCCCCCGTCCCACCGCTGGACTATGAGGGTCACCGCAGAATGGGTGTAACTCCCCTCCCCCCCCCGTCCCACCGCTGGACTATGAGGGTCACCGCAGAATGGGTGTAACTCCCCTCCCCCCCCCGTCCCACCGCTGGACTATGAGGGTCACCGCAGAATGGGTGTAACTCCCCTCCCCCCCCCGTCCCACCGCTGGACTATGAGGGTCACCGCAGAATGGGTGTAACTCCCCTCCCCCCCCCGTCCCACCGCTGGACTATGAGGGTCACCGCAGAATGGGTGTAACTCCCCTCCCCCCCCCGTCCCACCGCTGGACTATGAGGGTCACCGCAGAATGGGTGTAACTCCCCTCCCCCCCCCGTCCCACCGCTGGACTATGAGGGTCACCGCAGAATGGGTGTAACTCCCCTCCCCCCCCCGTCCCACCGCTGGACTATGAGGGTCACCGCAGAATGGGTGTAACTCCCCTCCCCCCCCCGTCCCACCGCTGGACTATGAGGGTCACCGCAGAATGGGTGTAACTCCCCTCCCCCCCCCGTCCCACCGCTGGACTATGAGGGTCACCGCAGAATGGGTGTAACTCCCCTCCCCCCCCCGTCCCACCGCTGGACTATGAGGGTCACCGCAGAATGGGTGTAACTCCCCTCCCCCCCCCGTCCCACCGCTGGACTATGAGGGTCACCGCAGAATGGGTGTAACTCCCCTCCCCCCCCCGTCCCACCGCTGGACTATGAGGGTCACCGCAGAATGGGTGTAACTCCCCTCCCCCCCCCGTCCCACCGCTGGACTATGAGGGTCACCGCAGAATGGGTGTAACTCCCCTCCCCCCCCCGTCCCACCGCTGGACTATGAGGGTCACCGCAGAATGGGTGTAACTCCCCTCCCCCCCCCGTCCCACCGCTGGACTATGAGGGTCACCGCAGAATGGGTGTAACTCCCCTCCCCCCCCCGTCCCACCGCTGGACTATGAGGGTCACCGCAGAATGGGTGTAACTCCCCTCCCCCCCCCGTCCCACCGCTGGACTATGAGGGTCACCGCAGAATGGGTGTAACTCCCCTCCCCCCCCCGTCCCACCGCTGGACTATGAGGGTCACCGCAGAATGGGTGTAACTCCCCTCCCCCCCCCGTCCCACCGCTGGACTATGAGGGTCACCGCAGAATGGGTGTAACTCCCCTCCCCCCCCCGTCCCACCGCTGGACTATGAGGGTCACCGCAGAATGGGTGTAACTCCCCTCCCCCCCCCGTCCCACCGCTGGACTATGAGGGTCACCGCAGAATGGGTGTAACTCCCCTCCCCCCCCCGTCCCACCGCTGGACTATGAGGGTCACCGCAGAATGGGTGTAACTCCCCTCCCCCCCCCGTCCCACCGCTGGACTATGAGGGTCACCGCAGAATGGGTGTAACTCCCCTCCCCCCCCCGTCCCACCGCTGGACTATGAGGGTCACCGCAGAATGGGTGTAACTCCCCTCCCCATGCCCCCGGAATGTATCGCTGAAATGACTTCAACGCGGTCATGTGATTTTCGTGACTCGCTTTCAATGCTTTTAAACCTGCAAATTTCCTTCAAATAATCCCCCATGATCCTGCCGTATGGTTCCTCGTCCCGGCACTTCCTGTTATAGGGTGACAACACTGTCTCTAAATTGGTCTCCTGGGTTGTCGCCTTTTCACACGAGCTTTCCGATGGAGACTACAAGTGGCCCGTTTCATCAAACATGACACAGACACGGTCCACTGTGGTCACCGTCAGGAAACCCGCCGCCATACAGCCATCGCCGGAGTGCATCGAGGCAGGAAGTGGCTGTAAA